GCGGACCGAACCGGCCTTGGGAATTGGCACGGCTCCTGGTTCCAAATTTTTAGAACCTGTTCGGTGCGGTTCAGCTTCCAGTTCTCATGTTGGAATCGAACTGGATCGGGCCGAGAATCGAAGAACCTAGAAACCTATCCGTGAACTAGAATATCGACCCTAAACGCTCCAATACTTAAACGGGGGGGGGGGGGGGGGGAAGCACATATCTATGCATGTCAGTTTCAAAGATATTTTTCTAAAACTATAATAGTAGATGAATGCATGGGTCTTGCCAATTCTAGTGCTGCTGGGGTGAGCATGGTCTGGATTGATTTGGTCCAACACCGGACCCAAGGACCAACCCGCACAGTATCGATCCCCAATTTTTAGGACCAAGGACCGACCCTGTTGAGCTTAGACCGAGGACTGGACCGACCCAATGGGCTCGGTTCGGTTCTAGGGTCAACCCAGGACCCATCGATTATTTTTTTGTTCATTTTGTATTCATTAAAAGGACAAACATACTACTTCAAATTACATAACTATCAACAATGCAATATTGAGCATCCAAACTATGAACTCCAGTACATATCAAACATAAATATAAGATAAAGTAAAAACATAAATTTTACACTTGCTAAAAACAACAAACCATTAAAATGAACACGTGAAATACAATTAAACCATAAGAAGTTCAAATTATGTAATATAAATCATGAATTAAACAACTTCATATTTTGTTCATTTTTAAATGATTGCTTCAGCTTCCGAATACCTGAAAACAAAACAAACAACACATATAATTAATACTTAATAAAGTATGTTTGCCCAGCTGAGCTGTGCTCGTGAGGCGAGTGAGGAGAGGCCAAAGGCGAGTGGCAAGGCGAGTGAGGCAAGCAAAAAGAGGCAAGCGGCGAGGCAAGCAAATAGAGGCATACAGTGAGGCAAGTGAGGGGAGAGGTCGAGGCGAGCGAACAAAGCAAGGCGAGGAAAGAGGTTTCTATTTTTTTTTTTATCGAATTACGGCTGAGTTTCTTTCTACTTTCTAATTTACACGGCATACTGAACTATATAAGAAAGAAGAGAAGAGGCGCTAGGGGTTAGAGTAGACAAAAGCATATATAATATATAATATATAACACACGGATTGGACAAACCCTAAACTTCCAGTATCGAGGACTAACCCGCACATTACAGGGTCCAGGGGTCTTAGGACCAAAAACCGACCCAATCCCCTGGGAACCGGACCAGGACCGGCCGAGTTAGACCGGTCCAGGGTCAGTCTAGGATTGACCTTGGACCGATGCTCACCCCTAATTCTACATTGCATTGATTGTGCAAAAATGAAATCATGCGTACGTATAACTCCTGCAGGTTTGGAGAGGTGTGGGATTTGTCTCCGTAAAAAAAAGGAGACTGGGAAAACATGTCTGATTGATTTGATGATAACAAAATTTAGATCAAAATATTTTGTGAGTGGACTTAAATACCGCTGAAGCTGAGATAACGACAGAAAATGCATTCAGGGTTCCTCATTTTTCATGGGTGAAAGTTGCTTAGTGTGGAAAATCGTAAAAACAAGCTCAAAAAACTAAGCATAGGTTCTATGATTGTCCGGAGTGTAAGAATGTGAACTTTCTAACTACATAGAGTCCTCCGACCTAAAAAAATTTACTTAGAGTTCCGAAATTGAAGAACTAGCTCATTTAAATATGATATTTTAAGAGTGCTCCAGCCAAAATTCGTGGACAAAACTGCACTGGAATTTACTAAAAAGGTATGATCAAAATCGACGGACAGGAATTTTTGTTGTTGCTTGCTTTAACTTTCATTTTACTTGATGAAACATGAAACAAAAAAAGGAATAAAAAAATAAAAAATTGGCCGGTTCCGGAGTGTACAAGTTAGATTTCATGCTCCAAAAACTAGAAACCAGCCTCGACGGTATAGTTTATTCTAGGAAAAGTGTCAAAAAAGTCCTAAACCTTTTGCATTGGTGCCAATTTAGTCCTAAACCTTTTTTTGGTGCCAATTCAGTCCTAAACCTTTTACATTGGTGCCAATTCAGTCCTAAATCTTTTTTTTTTGTGCCAATTTAGTTCTAAACTTTTTGTATTGGTGCCAATTCAGTCCTAAACCTTTTTTTGATGCCAATTCAGTCCTAAACCTTGTGTATTGGTGCCAATTCAGTCCTAAACCTTTTGCATTGGTGTCAATTGAGTCATAAACCTTTTTTTTTGTGCCGATTGAGTCCTAAACCTTTTGTATTTGTGCTAATTCTGTCCTAAACCTTTTGTATGGGTGCCAATTCAGTCCTTCTGGTTAATTTAGCTCAAAAAGGTTTAGGACTGAATCGGCACAAATGCAAAAGGTTTAGGACTGAATCGGCACAAATGCAAAAGGTTTATGACTCAATTGGCACTAAAAAAAAGGATTAGGACTCAATTGGCATCAATGCAAAAGGTTTATGACTAAATTGGCACAAATACAAAAGGTTTAGGACTGAATTGGCACCAAAAAAAGGTTTAGGACTAAATTGGCACAAATGCAAAAGGTTTAGGACTGAATTGACACAAAAAAAAGGTTTATGACTAAATTGGCACAAATGCAAAAGGTTTAGGACTTTTTTGACACTTTTGCCGTTTATTCTAGGTTCCAAAAACTGACAACTAGTCCCGATAAGGTAGGTTACGGTTCCATAGCTCAAGCTCACCCCTAGCCCAGGCAACGTCAAAATGTGAGCAATTCGTTGTCTTTTAAATTATCAACAATTAGCTAGTGTCAAACAACACGCAATATTTTGGGCCCCCCAAAAAAAAAACGCGAGCATGCAATATCAGAGGAAGCTCGGATACTTTGGAAGGAAATAGGGTTAGGGTTAATACCACGAAAACCCCAAACTGGTACATCTGTGACAAATTTACCAAAAACTAATTTTTTGATCACGAAAAACTCCAAACTGGTACACCTATGACAATTTTACCTCGAACTAATTTTTTGACCACAAAAAATCATAAACTGGTATACCTGTGACAATTTTATCCCGAACTAATTTTTTAACCACTAGAAACCCCAAACTAGTATATCTGTGACAAATTTACTATCTGTTAGTTTTCGTTAAATTTTATTGTTAAATTGCTGAGTTTGATAACACGTAGTAATTGACGAGTGTACCAGTTTGGGATTTTACTCCTCTGTTTGTCACAAATTTACAAATTTTTTATTTTTAGTGATATTAATCCAATTTAACGGAAGGTAAATTTGTCACAAGTGTACCAGTTTAGGGTTTTTGGTAGTTAAAAAATTAGTTTGGGGTAAAATTGTCACAGGTGTACCAGTTTGGAGTTTTTGGTGGTCAAAAAATTAGTTCGGGGTAAAATTGTCACAAGTGTACAAATTTGAGATTTTTCGTGGTCAAAAAATTAGTTTGAGGTAAATTTGTCATAAATGTATCAGTTTGGGGTTTTTGATGGTCAAAAAATTAGTTCGGAATAAAATTGTCACAAGTGTACTAGTTTGGGATTTTTCGTGATATTAACCACGAAAAACCCCAAACTGGTACACCTATGACAAATTTACCCTGAACTAATTTTTTGACATGAAAAACCTTAAAACTAGTACATCTGTGAAAATTTACCCAAAACTAATTATTTGATCACCAAAAATCCCAAACCGGTACACCCATCAATTGCCACGTGTCATCCAACTCATAAATTCGACAGTAAAATTTAACGGAAACTAACAAAGGATAAAATTATTACAAGTGTACAGATTTGGGGTTTTTGGTGGTCAAAATATTAATTTAGAGTAAATTTGTCATAAGTGTACCGGTTTGGGATTTTTCATGGTATTAACCAAGGAAATAGCAGCGGAAACAAAAACTATATCTGAATCGAGAATAAAACGCCTTATTGGGCATAGCCAAGGCCAATAGAACAAAGACTGGTTTCAATGACCTTGTCATCCAAGTTACACAATGATGAAGCAATGTCCCACTAATGTGTAGTGGACGTGATCTTAAACACCCAGCACCAACTCTTCGAAACATAGAAATATTCTAAAGATTAGACATCTTTTCCTTCAGTTTTGGATTCAAACGCACATTAACCAAACCAGAGGGAAGTGCTGGCAACTCATGAAGCATGTCGCAGTGAAGTAGGTCAAGTGTCTCCAGCTTGGAAAGATGCTTGATTTCAGAAGGCAGGCTGCAAATACCAGAATATTGCAGCCTCATAATTCTCAGATGAATTAGATTCCCAATGTCTCTGGGAATCTCCCCTTTTAAACTCCTACACGAGGAGGCATGTTCTTCGAGGCTATGTAGCCGCCCAATAAAACTAGGAAATTCTCTTATGAAGCAATAGTCCGTCTTTAACACTCTCAAACTCCGCAAATTTCCAAAGGAGTTTGGCAATTTTGAAATGCCTGTTACTGACATATCCAGCTCCTATAAAGAGTTTCCTAATTGGCCAAGGGACTCTGGAAGTTCTCGTTTCCAACGACAATTCCTCAATGACAAGCGTCGGAGTTTAACCAGCTCTCCAATTCCATCAGGGAGTTTGGTAATCTTCGAATTATCTACTGAGTTGAAAGTGCTGTCAGGTGTTCAAATGAGAAGCAATTGGAGGCACAAAGAGTTTCGAGTTTCTTTGAATCACCTTCCAAGGGAATTTCTTGCACAGAAGTCTCATCAATAAGGAGCTCTTTCAAAGCTTCCAAGCGACCCAGTTCAGCAGGCAACATGTTAAGTTCAGTGCAGGACTTCAAATTCAGGCAAAGCAATTTTTTGAGACTCCCGACTGAAGGATCTAAATGCACCAATTGAGAGCATCACTCTAGAGTAACTATCTCCAAATTTGGGAAGCTTGAAAATGTAGGACTTATCAGTAAGTCGGTGCAACCGGTGAGATTTAAGACTTTCAACTGTTCCATCTGTAAAACAGGAGAGAGAACATCATAAGTTCAATCGCCAGATAATTAACAAAATAAATTCATTAGAGCCGTAAATAGGAAACCACCTTGATTTTCCTCCAACCTCGCCAGTCTTCGGTGACTTTGCTCCATGAAAGATAAAGAATGACCAATTCAGTCAGATTAAATTCTGTTGCTTTGAAATCCCTTGGGCACCCTTGCCAACGAAGCCACCTTAACTTTGGAAATACATTTGCAAAATTTCCAGTCATACTTGCATGATCCAATTTCAAGAACCTTATATTAGGCATGCTTTTGAAATTTGTTTCTGCAAATGAAAGGGGACAACAATTCTTGAAGTCAAAGCAGAGGGCTGCGACCTCTTCCATTTCCTACATTTGCCAAGAGTAACAAATCAATCTTAAGCTATAATTTACGATGGGACAATTTTGCAAAGTGATAAGGACGAGAGTGCTTTCTTTTCTGTGCATCCGTCAAGGCTTTCATTTTACGGAAGAAAGTATACCAATGAACCAAAAGTCGTTACCTCTTTCCTGTTGATTACTTTCAGGTCTGTATCATGCATGTATAGTCTACTGCGCCTTCCAGGATATTTATGCTCGTCTTGATCTATAGTTCTGCTGAAACGCTTTAACAGTTTATGCATCCACAGCAGGTTGTCTCCTCCAATTTTCGCTAGGGGCATCAAAACAAGGTGAGAAGGCAAAAGATCTTGATCAGGCCACATGTATGATGCAATTCGGCTATCAACGCCATTGGCAAACCATACTATGTCCCAAAATATTTGTTTCTGCTTTTCATCTATGCTTTATAACAGATTTTCAAAATCTCCCCACAATCCTTCAAAATCTCTTGAGAGTTCTCCTTCCATGGTTTTATCAAGTCCTCTATCTTCTTCCAATCTTCTATTGTTTTACCACGCAGAAGTGAACCGATAACTTCAATAAATGGAACACGTCCCATAGCTTTGACAATCCGCTTCCCAATTTCAGGATAGCCAGGTATTAAACCGTGTGATCCTAAAGCATGCTTGTGGAAAAGTTCAAGAGCTCGATTGCTATCCATATAATTCAATTCATAAATACGGGCCAGGCCTTGAGAAACATATGTGTGGAGAATTCCACTATTTTCTGAAGTAACAAGTATCCGACTTCCAGAACCAAACCAGTTAAGCAGGTCTCTTACAAGATCATCTAGATGAGACTGTCCTTCCACATCATCTATGACAATAAGAACTTTTCGATTGCGAGTTACGTCCACAAAAACTTGATACCTCTTTTGAAAGAAGAACATCCCCATCTCGCTCAAGAATATCATAAATCAACTTAGTTTGCACAAACTGAATACCACCAACATTTTGTGTTGTTTCTCCAATCTCTGTGAGAAAGCTACAACTATTAAAATAAGAGGAGAGTCGGTCGTATACGGCCTTTCCAATAGTTGTCTTGCCGATTCCATTAGTTCCATGGATTCCAACAATGCGCACTCCAACCTCATCATCATCTATTTCCAATAACTTGAGTACATCCTTCACTTGATCATCCATACCAATTACATGTTCAATAGTGGCAACTGAGGTTTGCAACGACTCCAAAGGAAAACTAGGAAGTTTCAACTCCTTGATATGTAGAAGGGGTGGAATCCATTCCATCTTAGGACACTCCCATATCCTTAGTGCAGAGAGATTAGGAAGTGACGAGAGGGCATGAAGATCACTTTCTGTGTACTCCACTATAGGTAGCTCACCAATTTCCAAACGCTTGAGGCTCGTAAGCTCACCAAGTGATGGGAGACTTTTGCATCCTGCACAATGAAACAACCGTAGCTCAACTAACTTAGGCATGTGAGACATCCAGCTTGGAAACCTTGCGCCCCCATAGCCTCTTATTTTGAAGCTTCGAAGATTTAAGCTTGGCTGCAGCTCTTTGAGTAGAACTTCATCACTTCCTTTCCCGGCAAACACTAATACTAGTGAAACTAAGGAATCCTTTTCCTTCAAGTTCGCAGCATTTGATTCTGCTACTGCATCTTCTTTTTCTCCCTTAACTTCGATATTCAGACATCCTCTCAAATGGCTTAACCTGTTCAACTCCCCCAGCCCACCATAATTCTTTGGACAATAATCATCCCCAGGCAAAAGGAAATCTGTTAAAGTGCGCAAAAGAGTCAACTGGCCCAACCCATGTGGCATATGAGATAGGGCATTACAGTTGCTAATCTCCAGTTGCCTGAGGTTGACCAATTTTCTTATATCCCTTGGCAACTCTATTAGCTTGCAACACATGTTGAGTTTAAGTACTTGCAAGTTTTGCAATCTTGTCACAGAATCAGGAAGCCTTATGATTCCTTCATTTTTAGAGAGATCTAGAAATGTCAAGTGCTTCAACTCACAAATGGAACTTGGTAACTTCTCAATACCACTATCATAGCAATTCAAGGTGCGCAAGAACTTGAATATAGAAATAAGTTCGCAAAGAGTTTTTTCACCCATTTGAGCTTGACACCTCGAGCTTTTTGTTTGATCCATTTTGATGAATGTCCTCAGATGTTCTGCTCCGAATACAGTAGTTGGAAGTCCCCGTGATAAATCTAAAGTTGAATACCACGACACATGACGGGTTCTTTCACCAATTGACGATCATGGCCAACAAATTCCTCGAGAGTACTCCGGTTTAGCAACCATGCAGGCTAGCGCATTCATTAAATCGTGCATCTTACAAGACGTCACATTTCCAACTCCGTCTTTAGTGCAGTCTTGAAAGAAATTCCTCCTAAGTAGAAATAGTCATGAGCAATGTCTTCCATATCCCGATCTACGTTGTCTATGGGCCAGATAAATCCTTCTGCCATCCAGAGACTCGTCAACATTAGTTAATCAATCAAACAATCTCTGGGAAACAATGAACAGAAGGCAAAGCACTGTTTTAGATGGGATGGGAGATGATGATAACTAAGCTTAAGATGTGAGGTTAAGCCATAATAACTCGACTCTGAAGAAATTTCTGGGATCTCATGCTCAAAATGTAACCACTCAGCTTCAGTTTTCTTGAAGTATAATATTCTTCCAATTATTCGTATCGCCAAAGGGATTCCACGACATCTTTTGGCTATCCGCCTCGCAATAGTTAACTTCTTTGAATCTTTAGTCTCTTCTTCTTCCTCACAAGCCATTCTCATCAACAAATCTAAAGACGAGCTTTCTGAAAGGGTCTCGAGAAAATAAGAGGTTATGCGCATGAAATGCGCAACTGACTGATCGCGTGCAGTTATCAAAATCTTGCTTCCTTCAGCAACTCCCATCAATAAACTTTTCAAGCTCCCCTAGTGTTGAGGAAACTGTAACCATACATCGTCCATAACTAGGAGACACTTTTTCCCACGAATGTGTTCCATAAGTTGATTTTGCAATTGCTCCAACTCAACGTCATCTGCTCTTTCTGTTGCTGCACTTTCTATAATTTTTCGCAATACCATTTTGAAATCAGATAAGTCACCCACACAGACCCATATCCTTAAATCAAAATGGTTGTTGACCATGTCATCCTTGTATAGACATCGAGCTAGAGAAGTCTTTCCAATCCCACCCATACCCCACATTGAAAGGACAGAGATTTTTTCTTCAGTTTTGGAGTCTAACAAGAACTTCGAAATTGCTCTTTTAGCACCATTTCTCCCTATAAACTCCTCCTCGTACACAAAGGGGTCTGACTGCTCTCTCTCCCTCCATCCTCTCCCTACTTCCACATCCTTCGCGTACTCTAGCAAGTTAAAAAACCTCACTCTAGCAGCGATGGCTTCTATTCTCTTCCTAATGCTCTTCAGCTCTGGAGCAAGTTCGTTTGAAGGTGAAAAGAGGGTATTTACCTGCTTCAACTTCTCATCTTTGCCCCGCAATTCTCGCCGCAAAAATTCAACGTTCCATTCTCCGAGCAAGTCCTCTGCACCATGCAAAGCATCTCCGAGATCGTCAAGCCATGCTTTGATTCCGCGGCTCTCGAGGCTCCGCTTTTCCGCATTGCGCACTACCTTTTGGAGAGTAGAAACGGTTTCCTTGAGCTTGTGGAATTCGCCGACAATACCCCATGATTTTCCTTCCTCGGCGAAATCATCCAGAATTTTAGCTATCCTCCAGATGATTGCCTCCGCCATTGCTGTTCGGTGAAGAAGGATCCTGCTCCTCGGTATGCTTAGTCTTGTCGGGGCTCCTCGCATTTCTTACACGGTCAATCAATATGAAAAGACGAATACACCCTCACGTAACTATGGAGAGATTAAAAATTAAGGGCTTTATAAGCAAAATATTTTTTGAGCTATTGTTAGAATAACAGCATATTATGAGTCACAAATTTTTAGAGGAGTGAACTCCACAATAATTTCTAATTATTTATTATTTATCTTTTTGATAAATTCAAGACAGTCACATAAGCATTTTCCAAAAATTATTTTTTGGACGGGGCTATTTCTACTCGAGTTTTGATTAGGAAAGTACTACAAAAGGTCACTTGAATTTTTTCCATTAGCTAAATAGACCGAGCTAATGGAGAGACTTGAATATACTAATTTGACGAGCTGTAGTACTTCATTGTAGTTTTCAAAACCCTTTAAGACTTGATATAAAGACTCCTCATGCACTTATCCTTATTTTTTATTTTTATCAAAAAAGCTACATAGAAGATAGAAATTTCTTTTTATGATGACTTATGAATATACAATTAATTATTTGTTTTTTTGTTAAATAGCTTGAGTGAAACTATATTTCAAAGTTGAAAATTAAATTCAATCTAATTATCTAATAGATTGTGATCAAGATCAAATTTTGGAAAGGTTAATTAGTTAGAAGCATAGTCAATCTTCAAACATGTTTATATTTGGACCGTATCGAAATAAAAGAAAAGCACATAGAGGAACACAAATAGGAACTTCTTGTTGTTCTACTTCTACCATGAAGAAGTAATCAATACGGGTTGTAGATTCACGGATGAAAACTTTGAAATATGCTTAAAACCTTCTTTAGAAATAATTTGATGCATTCACAGATCTATTTTTGAAGGACAAGTGTGTGATTATATCTGCCAACTATGCTTTGATGATATACCTTGATTGCTGGTTTTTGATTTGTTTTGGAGCTCTGTTGGCTTGTTTTGTTATTGCGACTTTGCGATTTTCTATCATGTATCATTTTGGTAACAAATGAAAATTTGTTTTGACCAAAAAAAAATAAAAAATAATCTGATGTGAGTTTGATAGTGAAGAAGGTGTCGCTAAATTTTCAACTCCATCTAACAATTCAAATTTGAAATTGAAAAGCTCAAAAGAAAGCGCAAAGCAAGTTTTGTTTAACTTTAGAAACCTACAAATTTATTTCAGAAAAACACCCACAAGGTTTAGATAGACTAGATAAATAGATTGAAATTTAATTTTCAACTTTGAAGTATAGATTCGTTTAAACTATTTGAATAAAAAATAGGTAATTAATTGTGTGTTTATGTCAGAAATTAAAAAAAAATTCTATATAGCTTTCATGATTATGAGACCATAAATTATAACATACTCTAGGTAAAGCGATAACAGGATGTGCGATAAGATGATTTTTTCTAGGCATAACAGGGCATTTATATTGTGAAACCTATGTGAGAGATGATAAAAATAAAGTCATTTTTATTGGTTAGCTTGCTAAAAAAGAAACAATCCATTAAAGATATAGAAGAAGAGTATTTCTGTCAGTTAACTAAAAAACAGAAGTGTCTTGGCCAAAATGGAGTAGAATTAGAAGAAGGGTATTTCATCAGAATATCAATTTAAGTCCAACAAAACTTGTGAGATAGGACGTATAGGCCACTATACCCTCGGGCGATCATAGACTTGCAATTTATAGTAATTACATCATGATGTTTAATTAGAGCCGTTAGATCATATTTTGTTAGATCATATTTTGTCTCAACATATGAATTAAGATATTGACGAGCCAATAGATAAAAGATGCAAGGGTGTGACGCCATAAGGCAGTACTAGCCTAACCAAACTTATGGACCAGTTCAAATCAAATCGATTCTCTTGAACATTATAATCCTCCGGTTCTATTAGAGGGTGTAGTCAATTAAATTGGTCATCAAACTATGGACATTTTTTTGTAATATTTGAGATTTTATTTCCATTTTGTGCGTAACACTAAAGATTTCTCATACCGGTTGGTGTGAATAATCCAATGTTTGGGTCTCGAATTCAAGTTTTAGCCCGCTTCTTGGAGACTTCACGATTGGGTCGGGTTGGTTTGTCAAACCCCAAATCCCGATGGGCTCGCGACACCCCTACTGCGGTCGTATTGAACGCGACGTCCCAAGACGCGTCGCCTACCCAAACGAAATACGCAAGCGGAAGCGAAATATAAATAACCCAGACAATTAACCATGACCAAGGGATAGCACTAGCATAAAATCAATATACACATTTTATAAAAAAGGTTGGGTAACCTACTTCACTATACAAAACGGGGGCAACCAAAAAGGTGGAATGAAACATCAAATGCCCAAAGTCACTCCCGGTCTCCGATCAACACATGACGACTATCCGTCACTCCAGTCCTGAAAATGTTTAACAACGGGGGATGAGATAAATCTCAATAAGTAGACAACCTATACCCCACCTAGGCCAATGCGTACCCAGACGAGTCTAACATGCAATCCACCAGCCAACACAATCAATTCCACACAACATACTTACCTCGTCTCGAACTACGTGCCAATCCTGTATATTAGTCCAAACATGACAATGCAATAATAGCTCATAACCATATCACAATCACTCGAGCGCCATACACACTTGCATTCAACCAATCCAACCAAACACCCGCACGTGCATTCAGCCAATCCAACTAGTCACATTACGCACACGTGTCCAACCAACTTTCTCACGACCTGCGTAAACACACCTCAGGTTCTTTCTCACAGCAGGCGTAAACACGCCTCAGGCTCAGCCCTTCGATCAATCCGGGCTCAGTCCCGCGTAACCACGCCTCAGGACATTTCTTTCGTTCCCATGACCCGCGTAAACACGCCTCAGGTCTAACTTTCTTTTCACGGACCACCGTCAACACGTCTCAAGTCCGTTCTCACAGGCACACAAGCCACATAATTCAATCAATTTCCAATGACCGCCGTTAACATGTCCCAGGTCAAACTTTCCTTTCACGGACCACCGTCAACACGTCTCAAGTCCGTCAACTTTCATTCTACGGACCACCGTCAACACGTCTCAAGTCCATCAAATTTCATTCTACGGACCACCGTCAACACGTCTCAAGTTCGTTAACTTACAGGTACACGTGCCACACAATTCAATTTGTCATTCTCACACGTCATACTAATCAAATTCTAATCACGAGTTCACCACACAAGCCCACCAATCCGACACTCAAATCGGCCACATTCAAACATCAATTTCATCCACAAACGCCACGACAATTCAATTATCGCACTCACATAAATTAGCCACTAAACATGCCACATAATCACCACAATTCAATCCACCAATTAACCACATTTATAAATTGGCCTTAACCCAAGTTTAACCACTAAATCGGTACTAATCACACCCTAAACAAGTCTAAAAATACCCATTATACTAAGTAGGGTTTAGGAAGTCACTTACTAGGTTTTGGCCCGGGAAAAATCGGCACTGGCCTAAAATGGCCCGGGTGAACAGTGCTGGGAGCGGGCCAAACGGGC